GGCCCAACAACAATATGCGCCATACACCCAACAACAACAAGCACCAACGAGTCCGGCACAGGCGTACGTGCAGGCATATCAGACCCAGGTCCCCCCACCGAACGCTTCCTCCTCATCATCACCCTCATCAACAGCGCAGTATACGACGTCTAATCCATTCGATAACCCACACGCACACGAAAACAATACACTGGTGTACCCCTCACCCCAACAACAACAATGAACGAACTCGAATCTACCACTGAGGCTACAAGCGCTGAGTCAGCAGTCCCAACAACAACAACCTGCTGGGGGAGGGGATGCGGTGGTGGTTCCACCACGATTCCAGTTGTCTAGGTCGAATTCACCTGTTCCGCCTAGGTTCCAGCAGGTTCTGTTGTCCAGAGAGCATCCTTCATCACCGCTCTCTGATACATCTTATCAAATGCCGGGGGAGTATCCGCGTACTTTAGGAACACCACTGAGCAGTACCCCTTCTTTGGTTGGAGGAGGAGGTGGGGGTGCACTTCAGTCACCCATTTTAGGGTACCTATGAGGTACATCAATTCCTTGATTTAGGGTACCTTGAGGGTACCCATTCCGGGGTGGTATATGAGCTCGATACCAATACCATGGTACCATGGAATGGAAAACCCATACCATATCCCACTCATACCAATACCATGTTACCATACCATACCATGTCATCTCATACCATACCAAATGATGTCATACCATACCATACCATCATACCAAAGCTGACAAAGGGTGTCTGGGGTCCTTTTTCAAAATATATAAATTATTTCTGCAGGCTGCAATACTGGTCCATTGGGTGCCAACTTTTGTGGAAAGGTTCTTCAGGTTTTTGTTGAGATTATAAGCTACAAGTGGAGGTGAGATAGTAATTCCATTCTTTGGAAATCAGTTCTATTGAGCTTTATCCCAGGTTTTGTCATGCATGAAAAGCCATTTAATGTTATATATCCTTCCCATTTCTTTCAATTAGAACAATATTCATTACAAACAAACTGTGATGATGTGGTCTTTGAGAAGCAAAGAAGACAAGACATTTTGTGTACTTTAACAACACCAAGTACCACTCCACATATAACTCACTTCAAAGGCAGCATTTTTATATTGGCCTTTTTCTTTGTTTATACAGAGTGCAATTTTCACTCAGACTTTACATTCTTGGAATCACTAGGCAGATGAGAAGTTAAATTTGGGGAATGCTGAGATTTTATTGACCAGCTATGAAGAAAAGTTGGCTATTTGAGTTGTGACTTGGCCACTACTGGCTGAACCTCAATAACTCAATGAGAACTTAATACTTTTTTACATTCTTTTTCTAAGGATTTAGATCTACTCCCTATCTATCTGGAGATTTTCAGAACAAAAAATTGAATAATAAATGTACTCTATACAAGCAAAATTGAGGAAGAATCAGCTAAAAAACATGGCACTAATAGCATATGGTATGGTCCATGGTATAATATTATTACATCCCATAGTCATACCAAACCTGTCATACCATACCTGTTATACCATACCATGTTCATACCATACCATACATACCATACCATACATGTCATACTATACCATGTTCATACCACATGTCATACCATACCATACATGTCATACCATACCATGTTCATACCATACCTGTCATACCATACCATACCATACCATACATGTCATACCATACCATGTTCATACCATACCTGTCATACCATACCATACCATACCATACCATGTTCATACCATACCTGTCATACCATACCATACCATACATACCATGCCATACCATGCTCATACCATACCATGTCATACCACA